TAAGAGTGATGCGTCCGGCGCTGGCATGGGAGCAGTACTTGTGCAGGAGCGGCGGCCTATTGCGTATTTCAGCAAATCCTTGGCGGTCAGAATCGTTACCAACTCAGCCTAAGAAAGAGAGATGACGGGGTTAGCTTTAGCAGTTCAACATTCGCGACCGTATTTGATTGGGTGGCGGTTTGTGGTTCGTACTGATCACAGCGCGTAGCAACACCAGCACAACAGGTCTGAGTGGCAAAATCGTTGGGGTATTGATAGACACTGGCAATCAATTCAGATCAATTGAATACACAACAATCAAAGTAGAACAGTGCACAGGATTGTTTATTGAATAAGGAAGAATTCCAAAGAGGTATACAAGCTTATGGACCATTCGAGATGCCCAATCTCCAACTACTAGCCAACCGAATTCTCAGCTGCCTTTCTCCTCTATTCTACCTTCTATTTATAGTCACCTGTCACTTAAGGCATACCCGCCTGACTTACCCCTTATAAGAATCACAACTGAGTACTTATTCCTCCTTTTGTACACCTTGTCAAAATATTTAATAGGCTGGGACACCTGCCTATCATTACTCCCCCCCTGAAATTTCACCTTGTCCTCAAGGTGAAGACCTGGAAATTGATCTGCTAGAGCTTGTAATGGTTCCCAAGAGTCTTCAAACTGTGGTAGGCCCTTCCAGTGAACTAGGACCTCTATCTTGCCTTCTTTGTTCATCCTTGAGTCCAAAAGCTCTTCTGGACTGACTTGTAGTTCCCATTCTTCACTGAGGCAGTTAGGTAGAGGCTGAAAAACAGTTGTAGGGGATAGGGCCTTCTTTAGTAGGGCAATGTGAAACACTGGATGCACTTTACTATCTTCTGGGAGTTTAAGCTTGAAGGCTACAGAACTGAGTTTCTCCATTATCTCAAATGGACCATAGTACCTAGGACCGAGTTTCTGGTTAATTCTTTTGGCTAAACTCTGAAGTTTATATGGTTGAATCTTCAAATAAACCTGGTCCCCAACATTTAGAACCACCTCCCTTCTATGCTTGTTAGCTTGTTGTCTCATCTGATTTTGGGCTTTTTCCAGATTTTCCTTCAACTCTTTAAGTATCATATTTCTTTGAGCCGTTAGCTTAGAGACTTCCTCCACCGCAGTCAAAGTGACATCCCCTCTTACCACAGTAGGAGGTTCCTGCCCATATAGAGCTTTGTAAGGTGTCATTTTCAATGAAGTGTGGTAATTTGTATTGTACCAGAATTCAGCCCATGCCAACCATTTAACCCACTGCTTTGGCTTACTCCCTATAAGGCACCTCAAATAAGTCTTCAAGCATCTGTTGACCACTTCAGTTTGGCCATCAGTCTGGGGTGATATGCAGTGCTGTATTTGAGTTGGGTTCCAGCCAGTTTGAAGATTTCAGACCAAAAAGTACTCAGAAAGATTCAATCTCTGTCACTAACAATGGTTTTTGGAAAATCATGCAATTTGACAATCTCCTTTGTAAATAAATCAGCTACTTCCTTGGCAGTAAAAGGGTGGGATAGAGCCAAAAAATGAGCTGATTTTGTCAGCCTATCCACTACCACCATTATAGTGTCCTTCCCCTGTGATGTAGGCAGACCTCCTATAAAGTCCATACTGATATCAGTCCAAATATTCTGAGGAATAGGTAATGGCTGAATCAGTCCGGCTGGTTTTAAGGCTTGATATTTGTTTGTCTGACATGTAGGACATTCCTCCACAAACTTCTTTATGTCCTTCCTCATTCCATGCCAATAAAACAAATTAGAAACCCTCTTCATGGTCCTGAAATACCCAGAATGCCCTCCTACTGCTGAACTGTGATATTCATTCAATATTTTGGTCACTCTAGGGGATGCACTAGGTAACACTAGTTTCCCTTTGTAGTAGAGTAACCCTTTCTTATTCTGGAAATCTGGGTATTGGTCTGGCTTTGAAATCAGATTCTGAAACAATGTCAAACATTTAGGATCCTCCAACAATTCCTCTTCTAACCCCTCCCGTTCTTGACAAGTAACAATGGATAGGGAATGTAAGAATGGTCTTCTGGATAATGCATCTGCAACTCTGTTTTCAACTCCTGGTTTGTACTTGATAATGAAATTAAACCCCAGTAGCTTGGAAGTCCATTTTTGTTGCTCTTCCCCCATTAGTCGTTGCTCAGTCAAAAATCTCAAACTTTTCTGATCTGTGTGGATTTCAAACATTCTTCCCAAAAGGTATGGCCTCCATTTCTGGACAGCTAATACTATAGCCATCAACTCCGTCTCATACACTGATCTATGCTGATTTCTCTGGGATAACTCCTTGCTCATATAGGCAATGGGCCTTCCTTCCTGCATCAGTACAGCTCCCAGACCTGTCCCAGATGCATCAGTCTCCACTATAAACATTTTATCAAAATCTGGTGTTGCCAGTACTGGCAGGGTAGTCATGGTCCTCTTTAACTCCTCAAAAGCCTTGGTAGCCTCTGGTCCCCACTGAAAACTATCTTTCTTCAATAATTGTGTTAGAGGTAGAGCAATCTTGCTATATCCCTGCACAAACCTTCTGTAATGACCTGTCAGTCCCAGAAATCCCCTCAACCCCCTTCAAGTCCTTGGGTTCAGGCCACATGGTCATTGCCTCAATCTTTGTGGGGTCTGCAGCTACCCCCCCACCAGATATAATATGACCCAAGTAAATTAATTTAGACTGTCCAAACGAACATTTCTTTGCATTAATCACCAACTGATTATCTTGTAAAGCCCTCAGAACCTTCCTTAAATGTTCTTGATGTCCCTCCACTGATCTGCTGTAAACCAAGATATCATCAAAGAAAACCAATGCAAACTTCCTCAGAAAAGGCCTCAGAACTTGATTCATAAGGGCTTGAAAAGTTGATGGCGCATTTGTCAAACCAAAGGGCATTACCAAATACTCATAACGCCCCTCGTGAGTACTGAATGCAGTTTTCTGTCTATCCTCCTCCTTCATTCTTATCTGGTGGTATCCAGATTTCAGATCCAGCTTAGAAAAAATGGTCGCCCCACCCAATTCATCCAAAAGTTCTTCAATGATGGGTATAGGATACTTATCAGGTATAGTAATTCTGTTGAGAGCCCTGTAGTCACCACAGAATCTCCATCCCCATCTTTCTTCTTTGCCAGTAGAATAGGACTACTGTAAGGGCTATTGCTGTGTTGAATTATACCCTCATTCAACATTTCTTTTATAACCCTTTCAATTTCTGTCTTCTGGTACTGTGGGTACCTATAAGGTCTGATATTAGGAATGCAAGCTCCCTTCTGAATGTGAATAGCATGATCACAACTTCTTTTTGGTGGCAATTGCTTCCTGGGTTGGACCACTTCTGGGAATTCAGCCAATATTTGCTTCCAAGTGTCATCTTCTGCCCCCCCTTCTACTGAAACTACAGATTTTCCTTCACAAAACACCAAGTATCCATCCCCTGCTTCTTGTAATATTTGAGTCATGGTTGTTTTCGAGACTTCCAAAGAATTTAGCTGTGGATCCCCTTGTATCATCTGCTCCTGTCCTTGTTCCTTCCATCTTATAGTCTGCTTTTGGAAGTTGACTTCTACATCCCCCAAACTTGCCAACCACTCCATCCCCAGCATTTAGCTGTGGTCGCCAGTTTTCATTCATCGCGGCCATAGATGCGTTGATACTTTCCATCGCAGATCGCAACTCCATCTGTAACTCCGTACGTACTTCCAGAAGGTTGCGCTCCAGTGAATCTACTCGATGCTCCATTTTAGCTCTTGTTCTGACCATCCACACCAGGAATGACTATTTCCTGATGTTGCGACACCAATTCCGATCAACGCTGAGGTCACCAGGAACGTATTGCTCTGATACCAATGATAGACACTGGCAATCAATTCAGATCAATTGAATACACAACAATCAAAGTAGAACAGTGCACAGGATTGTTTATTGAATAAGGAAGAAATCCAAAGAGGTATACAAGCTTATGGACCATTCGAGATGCCCAATCTCCAACTACTAGCCAACCGAATTCTCAGCTGCCTTTCTCCTCTATTCCACCTTCATTTATAGTCACCTGTCACTTAAGGCATACCCGCCTGACTTACCCCTTATAAGAATCACAACTGATTACTTATTCCTCCTTTTGTACACCTTGTCAAAATATTTAATAGGCTGGGACACCTGCCTATCAGGTATTATTTTGAGATCGAATATAAGACACGCATCTCAAAAGCAAGGAGATAAAGGGGCAGCTATTCAAACTGTGGAAGAGCTTTTGAGCTTTTGAGCCACAGCTGTCAATGTGGCCTCCTCTCCTCTTCTCCACATCAGCCTTCTTCAATTTCAATTGCTTTCTGTCAATGTGATCGTCCGATAGAGAGTGAGCTGCTGGAGAGCTTGGAACCACCTGTGGGGCCGGTGTTGGAACGTGAAGTGGTATTGGCTAGTAGAATGGGAGGAGACAAAGGGGCAGCTATGGAAGAGTTATTGGTTAAATGGTTGGTGCAACCTAGTGATGAAATTGATATAGAGCAGGATGGAATTGATATAGAGCAGGGAACAGGGCGCCGGAGCGGAAGAGAGGGGTCCGAGACCCAGGCCCTTGTTGGTCACCGTAGGTGGGGATGGGCTCGAGTCCACCTTTGTTGGCTGGTTTTATTAATTTTAATTAGCTTCAATTCTATTGTTTCCTTTTATTATGTTTCCTATTATGGTTAATTAGGACTTCTATTATGTTTCCTAGTTTATGTTTCCTAGTTTATTCTGGTTTGATTTGAGGGTTATTTAAAATTTTAAACCCCTACTTAGGGCTGTTCGAACTAGGCATCAATAATATTGGAATTTTTAGCTATGAAGCTTGGGCAACGGTTTCTTCCGTTGATTGTTAATTTTCGGTTTTCAACACTCGCCTTGTGCGCTTAAGCGCCCAGGTGCTTGCTTTTGATTACACTGGTGGGGATATTTCACCAATGCATTGGTTCTGAATTGTACTTTACAGGATGCAGATCTTGTCCTTGTTTCCCACACATGGCAGGGGTGTGCCAGAATACAAGGGAAGCTAGGAGTCAGGCATCACTTGTACATTAATACTTCAAGGTAAGAAAAACAATATTATTGGCTGTATATGCATGGTAAAAAAACTCGTAATATGTAGTACTGAATGCAAATGTTTATATTATGATATATGATTGTATTATGAAATAATTGATCAACAATGTGAATGTGTGCTGTGTTTAGATGTTAGGCAGGTTTAGATTTGTCAGTTCATGAGAAGTAGACGGTCAAGAAAAGTCTACTGACATGATAATAAATAATACTCTGTCCCACTATAATTGTTCCATTTTTCTTTTTTCGTCGGTCCCACAAAAAGTTGTCTCATATCATATTTGATAATATTTGTGTGGTTCTAATTCATTCTTATTTTATTCCCACTATCAATTCATTATCGACCACATATTTATACTTTTCTTAAAAATTGCACCACCCCCTTTTGTCCCAATCTTAGGGGAACGGAGGTAGTAATAATAGTAATAATAATCATCACTCATTGGCTGTGTAGTGTACACAGACATCAACATTTTGTTTTAAAGTTGTAACGGATATGTTATATTCCGTAGTTTTCATTAGGAATTTTGGGTCCAGCTTCCCCAAACCATTTGAAACTACAAATTACTCTGTATTATTTAATTGTTGATCTTGCAGTATTTGCTTCAAAGAGCAGTAGTGCTCTGTGCGTCTGTATTTGTTGTTTTGTACTGCATCAAATTTTGTGTTCCCGCCCAGTTGAACTGTATAATTAACTATGGAGTATAATTTTACAATCTAGAGAGTGCCACTCCCTCCAGTTATTGTATAACCCAGCAGGCCTCATTAACCCCATTCCTGTGTAGGTGCTGTGTGGCGCCCAGTTTTTTTTCCTGCTGGTAGTATCCCTCCTAATTTGTTTATATCCTGTTTAGCTCTTATCATTTACCAGGAAACCTTGTCCCCCTTCTTCCGTGTAGTGATTTTTACATCAATGTCCTCCGAGCCAAAATAAGGTTTTCGGTTTGGTCATGTTATCGAGAATCCTGTCATTGAGATCTGTGTCAATGTAAGTGATAATATCACACAAATTTTTCTTCAAAAGAAATGTAGCATTTTATTTCAGAACAAATGAAAAATGATACCTTTTGGGATAGATGGAGTACTTTGTTTTCCATTTAATTATTTTTGTAACTTTTAGCCCCAGAACACTAAAAGTCTTAACGTTTTATTGGGGCCTACACCGCTTTAATTCTACATTTGGTAGAGTGGACACATTTAGTTTGCCAATACGGGCTCCTTAATTCTAAAAAAACTAAAATATGTAAACAAATAATAAAAAACTAAAAAACAACCAACTGATTTTTATTACTCCCTCCGTCCCATAAACAACTTCTTACTTTCCTTTTCGGGCAGTCCCGAAATTAACTTCACACTTCTTCCCACTTCCTTATTTGGCAAATTATCTACATCAAAACAGTGCAAAACAGTGCCAAACAGTGTTGAAACAGTGTCAAAACAGTAAAATTTACCCCCAATAAGTTTATTTCCTTAATATGTGTGAAAACGAAGTGAGAAATTGTTTACGGGATGAAGAGAGTATTTGTTTAAATATTTTAGTTTTTTTAGATTTAAGGAGCCCGTATCGGCAAACTAAATGTGTCCACTCTACCAAATGTAGAATTAAAGCGGTGTAGGCCCCATTAAACTCATCTAAAATACGCGTGGACCACATAACTGTATTTCCTCATATAGTAGTATAGCACATTGAAGCGTGCCACACGGGCTCCTTAAAAATAAATAATATTATTATTTCAACGGTTCTTGTATGTTTTTTAGAGATGCTTTCGGCATGGAGATTTAAAAAATAACATTATTTTTAAAGGAAAAAATGCAGCTGCACAATCCTTCACTTAAAAAAGAAACGGAAAGACAATTTTGAGACAAATGGAAAAGTTCATTTAGGAGAGTATTCAGAAATATATACTGTGAATGCTATATGCAGTGGAGCATGAGGTACTAGAGAGAGAGGGGACGATTGAGGGCTTTATGTCAGCAACAACATCAAGCACCTCCTCAACTGAAAAAGAGACCATATTCTAGCCACGGCTTTCGAAAAGTTTGGATTTTGGTAAACAATTTGCTGACCTCTCTTTGGATTAGAAACTGGGGCTGTCTCTGTCTGTCCAATGCTGAACCAGACTGTACGTACATATCTAGGATGATGCCGTGGTTGAGCGGAGCTCTTGCAAGTTGCAAAATCTCATTGCCTTGGCCGTGTTTGGCTGCAGTGCATCATCTGCTAGTAGTTTCAATTGCATCTTCTTCTCTCTTTTGCTTTTAAAAGTTCTTTATTAGGAAGGCTAGTGAATATGAGGTAATTGCTTCAGGCATCATCCTCTAACTCCTTGTATGTTGAAGGCATTATTTAGTTCTGGCAATTTCCTTGCTTCTTTTTATTATCAATGAATGCCATTTATAGATTTCTGAGTTGTTCAGTGCCACCAATTTTGACATTCTTTTCAATCACCAAACTCCAAAGTGTAACCATGCATGATGGTAGATGCATAAAAAAAGAAAATTTGGTTCTAAGGGGTGGACCTGGTTCTTCAACTGGTCTGGAATTAGGCGGGTAAGGAACGCGTTAGTGACTCATTTCTCTGGATCCAGAACACAATTGGTCTAGATCGGTTATTCCATAACAGGACTGCAAATGACCAATTCCGGTTTTCATTTTTAATATATAGGCTAAAAATCGGAACCGCTCTGGATCAGTGTGACCTGTGGGTCTATCTATTGCTGCATGCATGCTTAGATCATCATCAAGTTAACAAAATTGTAAAAGTTCAATGAAGTACTCCGTGCATTATTGGAAAGGTTAAGCATGAACTCACTTTCATCTCATAATTGTAGGTTGAAGAATAATGGACTGTTGAGCTGCGAAAGGTGAGAATTCCCTTGGAATCGTCTGCATCTTAGAGTGCAGGAGAGTCGAGAGCCAACCCAATGGGACTATGGGAGTATTATTAGATTATCAGTGATGAAGCGTGAGGTTTAAATTGTTCAATCAATATTACAAAGCTACCACAACTAAAAAATACTCCGTACTTCAAGTCTTCAAAAGAAGAGTATGTTCGTATAATCGTATTCAAACAAAGTAGTGTAACATTCATTAAATTTTAGACAAATAGATGATATTAATCTCAATTAGTACTGGCTTGATAATAATCTCAACTATAGAGATCTTCTGCAAATAGGTTCCATATGAGCAGTGGTGGACCTAGGCATCGGGACTCAGTGTATGCACATATATAACACTAATAATATACGTAGTATATTACATCTAAAAAAAGGCTAAATAAAAATAAATAGATATAGTAAAAGAAAATGTATCAGTATATGACCCGAATGATGGAAAACTATTAATCTATGACCAAAATGATTGAAAGTTATCAATTCGGGACCTAAGGTTTCATAAATTTTGTTATTATTTTTATTTTAAAAAAATTAAATAATATTTAGTTTTATTAAGCTAATAAACTTTTGTGAAAAACAATTCACCAAATATTACCAATGAAATTAATAAAAAATTAAATAAATCAAAACCTATGAAATGTAATCATCCAGATTGATAGTTTTTCATCTTTCGAGTCTTATACTGATACATTTCATCTTTTAGGTCGTGAATTGATAATTCGTCTATCTTTCAAGTCTCATATTGATAAAATTCTAGAAGAGGAATGTTATATTGAAAGTGTTGAATAATTAACTCATCATCAATGCTATCAAACACATCACTTTCCAGTATAGGAACTAAACACTCAGGATGTTTTTACTTGGACTGTAATTTGCTGGTCTGGTCTGAACTGGTTTGGTTTGGTTTTTATGTATTTTTATAATTGTCCAAGTCTTATTTGGTCTGAATTGATCTGATCTGGGAGGAATTACAGTCCATGTAAAAACATCTGCATTCATCCAATCACCTCCCATCTGATTTCTCGCTTGGTCTTCACAATTTTCATGACTGAGAAAGCTCTTTCAACCTTGGCGGTAGGGATGGACCAAACCGGGTCGGCCCGGCCCTGAACCAGCCCGGCCCGCCCGGTTACGGAATGGGCGGTGCGGGCTTTTACCCGGCCCGGGGGAGGCTAGCGGTTCGGGCACGGTTCACAAAAAGGAAGGCCCGGCCCGACCGGTTCGGGCCTGGTTCGAGCCCGGTTCGGGCCAACGGCTATATTTTTTTTAAATTTTTTTTTCTTTCTTTTGGCTACCAAACAGGCCCTTAGAGCCGTTGTGATTGAACCCAAACGGCTATATAGCCGTTGGGAGCCTTCCTGGGGTCCAGGGGTGGGTTAGGGGGGGGGGGGGGGGGAGGTAGGGGTACAAAAAACTATAAATACTCCATTTTTTCTATACAATTTACTACACATCTTCTCCAAATATTACTACTCTCTAATCTCTATTCTCTACTAATTTATTATTTATATATCTACTTTATACTTAAGATGGAAAATCAAGATGCCGTTATACGGTATAATTTTGATAAGCAGAAGGACTCGAAGACCGGGATGTGGTACGCAACTTGTAAATGGTGCGGGGAAAAATGTAGCATAGGGGTTTCAGGCGGATACGGGATGACAATGAAGCATATGAAGTCATGTGACAAAGCCAAAGGATCGGGAGGTGCGGGAAGTTCCGATTGATTATAATTTACAAAATGTTTGTCTCTTGAAGTTTGTTTTTAATACTTGTATAAAACTATAAACTATAAAATATAAATTATAAAAAAATATTCTTTAACCGGCCCGGCGGGTGGCCCGACCCGTGACCCGGACGGGTGGCCCGGCCCGAACCGGACCCGTCCAACCCTCGGGCCGGTCCCGGGACCATGTCATACAAATCGGCGGCCCGACCGGACCTAGGCCCGGCCTAGGCCCGACCCGGCCCGAGTCCACCACCAAGTTGGCGGTAGCAACGGACCGAAGGAGAATTTGGCGAACTAGGGATTCTACAGTATGCTTCCTCGTTGATGTTTCCTAAAGAAGAAAGAGATGTTAGGGTTTTAATGGGGTTAAAAGAAGAAAGAAGAAAGGTGTAGCCTTGGGGAGATTCGAACCGACGACCTGTAGCCTATAGGGGTTTTGAATTTCAAGACTACTACCACACAGGCTAGCAAAGCTTTTTGAGGTGAAACCAATGCTTACCCTAGTTATACTATAGGTCCGTCCCTGCATGTGAGTCACGTGACCGGCTCCTTGTCTAGCAAAAAAAAAAACGGATTATTACTTACGGTCTATCAACTATTATTAGTGGTCTATCAACTATTATTAGTATCGGGAATGTAATTCTTTTCTTTTTCATCCGTCCCAATATAAAACTTTTTTTCTTTTTATGGCAAACAATTTATATGCTTCACATAATTTCTTTCTCATCTCCTTAATATTTTTAATATTCAGGGCGTAGCATTTAGACTAAATTGTGGAGAACAATACAAAACCAGTACTCTACCAAATCAATATGAGTTAAAGTAAAAATTTAATGCTATTGGCATTTAAATATTTGCGATGTTATTCATATATTTAAAATTTATGTTCATATAGTAAGTAATGCATAATATACAAAATTTGGAAAAGTATGAGAGATAAATAGAAAACAATGAAATATAAGATGAAAGAAGTAGATATATGAGTTTTAAAAATTGGAAACCTAAGAGACATATTATGTTCTTAGTTTGATTAATTTGAGTTCCAGATCGCACCAGAATAGACAATACTAAAAAGCACATAAAATATATTTTTGCCAGATCAAGTCAGGTGATATTAGACCGACAAATATAATTTCAATTAAAAACATTCATAATATGAAGAAGTATAGTAAAATTTACCAAAATAATGTCCAACACTTGCCCCATTTGTTTCATTGATTTAGCTTTTGATCGAAGAGAGAAAGCAAGCTTATCAAAATTGAAAGTGTTAACTACACCCAAACGGGATAGTGTTCAAATTTTCCTTTACATAAGTATTTATTCAAATTGTGATCTTTTTTAATAATTATAATTTTGATATTAAGCATAAAAAATTATAGTTCATGTGTGAAAATGATATGCTATTTCCTAATACCAATACATTTAAAACATTATAGGTTAAATATTTTAGTTTATTTCTGAAGTGTAGTACCTCCTTTGCATGGAACATTATTTTTGTTTGAAGATGAAATTTCAGTTTCTCCTACTTTATAAAGATTAGACCTTCATTAATACTACCGGCACATACCGGTATTTTATATTTGCCCTCGGCACCATGAGGCCCCCCGGCACCAGTGCATTTTAGCGAATATGTTCAACAAATATTTACTTTATCACTAACACATCTAAGCTATATATTTGTACATGTGTAAAATAGATTGAATTATTAACGATTTTATGGATGACATCGTTTTTAATCGTTGAGATGAAGTCATTATGAATTTATGAGGCGGTTTCAGAGTATAGCGCGTCGAAGACAAAGATTGTCACCTCTGAATTATTCTCTATCTTTTGACACATCAATTCTAATAAAAATTAGTGTTCTTTAATGACTTGCTTTATTTGAATATTATTAGCATTTGTTTATTGATAATATATTCAGATTAATTTATGTGTTGATGTGCACCTTCAAGTCACATGTGTTGGTTCCGCCACAGAATGTAACAAGTGTAACTTTTCACTTATAAGTATGAAATTTAGGGGTATTGATGGACAGTGTACCCGGGGGGTAGTTTATCCGAGGGGTTACTGCAGGGAGTAACCTAGATAGAAGTCAGAGCAAGTAAATAACAGAGATACAGAGTTCGAATGTGTATTTGAGTTGTATTTAGCGTGGTTTACAATGGGGGAAAGGGGTGCTATTTATAGTAGCAATAAATGCTACATAGGGACACGTGTCAGCATTCTGGCGGTCGAGGGGTCACCTCAACCGGGGTGGCACTGGCATTCGCATGTGGCCGCATTAAATGCGGTGGTTGGATGCGACGTTTGTACTTGGTACGGTGATCCAACGCATGTGGATGGGAGATTCCGTCGAGGAGGAAGCCTTCGGCTATAGATGACAGTCTGAAGGCTCTGCGTACCGGGGGCCTCATGGTGCCGAGGGCTCCAATTGCCGAAGGCATGGTTTTCCAGACTTGCTCTCCTGTGATGTTTCTGAGCCCAATTCCGTCACTGGTAGCCTTCGGCCATGGGGCCGAAGGCACCCCTTCATGTATCGTGGGCCGCTTAGAGCTCTATCCTGCTGGGCTTGGCCCGCCTGGGCCTGTTGGGCCTGATTGTGATAGTGGAAGTATGTGGGCCGGGGGTCCCTGGGCCATATACTCCATCAGGAGTCCCTCACTCCTTTTGCCGTAAGGTACTTGAGGGAAAAGGAGTAGTTGCGTTTGTCTTCGGATGTTGCCTTGCTGTCATTTGTAAAAGCGGTGAGGAGTCTTGCGCTTGCGTGTTTGCCGAGGGCAGTCCCTCAGTCCCCCACATTTTGGGACCGAAGGAAAATTTTTACATTTGTAATTTTTGTGAATTTCCCGAAGGGGTCCTCCAGTCCCCCACTCCTTGAGGCACATATAATGTGGTGAAAAGGAGTAGCATGGTGCATGTTTTCATCATGGGCCCAAAGGCTTGTGCTTTTTGTTTCATTTGGGGGGGGGGGGGGGTGCCTCGTTAAAAACCTCATTAGGAAAAACCCTTTGGGGAAAAATCCTAATGAGGGAAAAAGAGTGCACCAAATTCCCCCAATGATGAATCAAAAGGTCCGCCCTAGGTTTGAGATGAAGAGCAATGTTGCCGCCGAGAGCTATCCGTGATCTGAGGGTTTGATCGTTGATTTTGCCGAAGGCCCTTCGTTGGTGTCCTGGTGATGCCGAGGGGAGTGACTGCTGGGAGCGCTCCTCGAAGGTGTCTGTAGTTGATGAGCATGACTGAGCTTTCCGGGGACTGCTGAGGGTAGTCCCCCAGTTAATAAGGTTGAGGGCGTGATCGATGTAGATGAATGCCGGTGAATGTCCCTGTGTGTCGAGGGGTTCCTGGTATTTTAGCAGGAGGCTAACCACAGATGAGGGGTTGTGAAGGTGTGGCCCCGGGAGGGTTCCCTGGTTTTCAACATGTTGAGGGCTGAGGGGTCCTGAGGGGTTTACCCGTTGTTAAACCGGGGGCTCCTCTTGATGAAGGAGTTTGAAGGAGAAAACCCGAAGGCAAGCACAA